GTGTGTGTGTGTGTGTGTGTGTGTGTGTGTGTGTGTGTGTGTGTGTGTGTGTGTGTGTGTGTGTGTGTGTGTGTGTGTGAATTCGTTGGATTCATGGATTAGCGGTGAATTCAACTAGCTGCTGGCTAGTAGTTGATTAGCTGTTTGATTCAAGCTCGAGAAAGTCGTTGAACCGTTTATTCAAACGGTGTTTTGAGTGAAACTTGGATTCAAGCAATATTTCGAATATTAGGAGACAAGTCTGTCGCAGTGAAGTTTTCCTTTTTTCAAAGAAAAAGTCAAAGAGTATGAAGGGGGATAGTTATGGTATGGAAGACGAATTGATTTGGAAACAGCGTTTTGAATATTAGGGAACAAATCTGGCAGTGAAATCTTTGTTCGTCAGAAAGATTTTTGATCAGATACTTTTTGATTAAAATGTCTCGCAATGAAGTTTCTTCTTTTTAAAGAGAAATCAAAGAAAGACAATTGAAGTATGGAGGACGAATTGATTTGAAACAATGTCTCTAATATTAGGAAATCTTTTTCCAATCAAAGATATACCAGACGAAGGCTAAGTTCAAGTATGAACTTCAGTTGGACTTGAATTAATTTGTGTGATCAAACGAGTCTCGCGACGCAGTATCAAAAGATAATTAAAAATATTACACTTGAATTTGAATTGATTCGCGCGAGGAATTTGGAGTGGTACTTAGTCTTAAATTTTTCTTACTGAAAACCATCGGACGAAAACACTTAAAACATGGAACGTGGATTAAAATTTGATTGATTCGAGTTTCGAGCAATAGTTTCAATATTTATTTCAGCATTTTTCCAATACTGAGGATACAATTGAAATATAAAAATTTTGCAGATGTCTAATGAGTTTAAAAATTGTGAATATTCATTGAACGAGTGTCTCGATAACGAATCAGTTTGGTTATTCGACGATAGTAGACACCTGACTGTGCAAGTGAACTTGATCCTTATTAGTTAACAGCCATTGTTTCGTTTCGAGCGCAAGAAACTGTCTTGCATTCTTGGTGCATGCGTTACATTCATGTTTGATCGAATCGGAGGACATCACTCTCTCTCTCTTTCTCTCTCTTAATTATAGTTTCATTTTTCAGTGTTTTTCAGTATTCAAAAATTTTTAATTAGATGTTTCTTTCCTTACGCTGCTTCGAAAATGAAGGAAGTCGTCGTTAGAAAATGGCGTAATACTCGAGCACGTTCGAATTAACTATCTTTTATTATAATAATCTAATTGAACGTTCTATACTACAGTTCTCCAAGAAACAGTCGAGTCATCTTCAAACAGAGAAAACTTCGGCTCCCGTGTCAAAATTCGAAATTCAAGTTAATTGTTCAAAATTCACTTTTGTTTCTCTCTGAACCTCGAAAGTGACCATTTGATCTTCTCTCTAGTCGCTTTTTACCGTCCAGCGCCTCAAACTTCGTTGTTTTTTCATCCCTCCGGTCGAAAATAGCTTAGATCGACGATATCTAAAAGTAGGAACTGGAGTCTGATCCTTATTAGCGGCCATTGTCTCGTTCCGAGAACAAAAATCGTCAAATCTGCACAACTCCTGTCTCAATTTATCGTTCGTCTATTTCGAGCGTTCTTGTAATTTTAATTTTTTGCTGTTTTGCTTTCTGCCTTTTTTTTTTTTTCACTCGTGTTTCGCGCGTCTTATCGAGTGAAAATGGAATGCACGCAGGTATTCCTCTGGAATGTCGGTGTCATCGCGAGTGCATCAAGCGTACACAGCGTAACGTTATTCGTCACACGTGCGTTACCAGTGTGAATGATCTATCGTTCGCGAGCTCTACCTCAACAGCGGCGTGACTATGGCACGTACCGCGGATTCACGCGTGGTTCCACGCGCCTTTCTTTCGTTCCATCTCTTTGTTAGGTGAAATCGATTCAAGAAGATAATCCGTGCGTTTGAAGTGAATTAATCGTTGCTCAGGAGTAGGCGACTCTCTGGTTTTTTTTCTTTTTTTTTTTGTAATTGGAGCCATTTTTCTGTGTTGTTTCTGGTTGCATGTAGCTAAAATTTGAAAACAGTGAAGAATATAGAAGATACATAGTGAAGAGATATAGAAGAATATATTTTTGACTCGTAGAAGAAATGGAAAATATTTGTAACAATTGTTTGGATCGAAGGACAGATTTTAGAATTGCAATAGCAATTTTGATCTACATTGTTGTTCGAAAGATGTGGAAATCTGATCGGATGAACTGATCTATCAAACATAGTGACTCTTATCAATATTACAATATCTTATTGCCATGATGTTTCAGAATTTATTCTTTTACACGTTTGTTTGTAACAGCGTCATTGAAACGGGTGTTTTATAATATTAATTGATCTTCTAATATTAAAAATATACTTGTAATTTCTTAATTTAATGCATTTTTATATAAAAAACTGAACTAAACTGAATAACGAAGTTTAAAAGTTTCTAAAAATTTGAATGACAAATAACATTGATTATACAAAATTAATAAAATATAATTTGGTATTACGGAAAACTACGTAGATTAACTAAATAATTATTTTAATTATTAAATAATAGCTTTGATATATTAAAAAAACAATTAATTCAATGAGAGTATTACAAATAAATACACAGCATTATATTAGAAATAAATACAGAGCATTAATCTCTCGAATGTTAATAAAAATCACAGTAAACAATCTACCTGATGTCTTTTAATCACAAATTTAATACATATTAAATCAGTAAATTTATCTTTACCTAAACAATAAGTTCATGAATTATAAAAATAGCAGAAATAGTTTACGAATTGACATCAGTATCTTTAATAATAATAATTTTGAAATTTATTTCAATTGCCATCAAAAATTGGCACAGTGATGATGCATAACTTCAGCATATATAGGACACACGTAAAGCATAGGTCAGGATTGTAAAATTTCACGCAGTCTACAAGTCTAATATCTTTTTTTTTTTTTTTTTTTTACTGCTAATTATATTGTTCCATTTTCTTGATAGCAGTTGAACAAGCTTTTTGTACGCCTGGCAACACCAAAGCGCGCAGAGTGGAACGCGTTCCTTTCATTCTACCTCTTTTGTTGCCCGGTGAAATTGTTTTACGGCTTTTCGCCGGACTTTTCGTTTTCGCGTCACGTTAATTAACATTTCGTATCAAGTGTCGAACTGGCGACGATTTATCGTCCACTTTTTTCTTTTTTTAAATCAAACTATGTCGTCCACTGATCGACACACGTGAAACCGTTTCTCACTCGTCGTTGAAATTAAAAATTAAAGAATTAAATATTAATTAAGAATTACAAAGTTGCAATATTTTCTCAGTTTTATGTATATTTAAAGTAAAAACAAAATAGGCAAAACAAATAATAAACTTATTACTTCTCAATAATTTCTATCCGGTGATATCATCGATACTGACGAGTTTAAAAAGTAAAGCGACGGTCACCCGGTCACTCGTTATGGTCCGCAATCAGTTGCCAGGGCAAGTGGTTCAAAGTCCTGCGAGCGACTCGAGGAAACGGCAGAAAACAGGAAGAAGTTCGTCGATGGTGCCAAGAAAGAACGGACTCTTTTTTTCTCTCAGTTTTTTGTTTTTTCTTTCTTCTCCTTTCTTTTTTTTTCTTTTTTTACTCTCTTTTTTTATTGTTTTTGCTTCCTCGAGAAAATTCGAAAATCTTTCTTGCGCTCGGAACGTGCGTTAGCCCACACGGAATGAGAACTCGGCGAGAGAAAGTGCACGTGCGGCCTCTCTTACCTTTTGAAATATTCACGAGGCCAGATAAAATAAAAGATTGAAATTGACGAGTAATTACGCGTACGTGACACGAGGAGGAACGTGCCTCCATTGCGTCAACCCTCACCTATGGCTAATCAGAAACGAGTAGTATATGTTCGCTTATTTATTTGTTTTGTTCCCGGACATTTGCATTTCCTACACAGAAGAAAAACCAGTTTCCTTACATTGGTCGTTACATTGAACGGCATTATTTTGTCACGTTAGCATTATCCGTTCGATCTTGGTAAAAAAAAAGAAAAGTCAGATTTTGAAATCCCTGATTCATGCGATAAAGGTACATTTCAAGTCAATCGGTGAGATATCCCGAGTAGCCAGTTTAAAAAATATAGATTTGAGAAAAATATTCATACTTGCAATCAGTCGAGCAGTACAAAAAATAAAATATTATGAAATAACAATAGCATAAAAATAAATAATAATATAAATGATATTATAAAATAAAATATTTTTCGAGAAAAACGCGTTTGAAGTTTTTACGTACTATACTTACGTACACCGTAATTTTAAACATCTATACATTTATTAATTTTACGAATTCAAACGAATCCTTTTTACATAGACATTTTCGAAAGCATGTATTTTGAGAAAATGTAAAAGAAAAATTGATTTTTTAAGCTGCAATACTAGAATACCTCCAGAAGGTCACTCGTCTTCGAGGAATATTCTGTTCGTCTACTGCGATACTATTTTGTTGGGTTTGGACAACTGTTTGCGTTAGTATGCCAGTTAGCGGCCTGATCGATAATTAACTCCGTATCGTGGAAAATTATCGTGATAATCTATCTGCACGCGTCTCGCGCTCACCGCCAGTCGACACGGTGTGATATCAACGTACAGTTCTCTTTCTCTCTCTCTCTCTCTCTCTCGACGATGTTTTTTTTTTTTTATATCAAACACGCTCGCCTATCTCGCTGAAAATAACGTTGTTATCAGAAATCGGTATGATGACCGTTCCTAAGTAGTGTCAACGAAGAAATGAAACACAAGTTGAAAAAAAAAAAAAAAAAAGAAAAAAGGAAAGAAAAATAGCAAAGTAACGTTTGATTGCAGGATGAATTATGCCCTCTTTGTGTGATGGACGCACAGTCCGAGGGAGTGGCAATTCACGAAATCAGTCGAATCGCGAGCACGTCGTGTAACCAACGAGAAGACGCTGATATTGAGAAAAGTGCGCTAAGCGAGGACGAAGAGAACGATATGCCACCGATACCGGACACGGTGCCAATGTCAAATACGACGGCCATCGCTGAAAGTGATCAGATCGACGGCCAGCACGGGAACGTCGATCAATCGAACAGCAATTTGACCGCTAACGAGCCGCTGAAACGTCGCCGGACAACTGAGGAGATCGCCAGTTTTAATATGTAAGTATCGATCCGTTATCGAGATTTTATCTCGTGGGCGTGTACGATCGATCGACGCGTACCGGATGTTATGAGTTAGTTCTCTGTTCAGAATGTTCGTGTTAATGTCGCGTTTGACCAGTTACTACTTTCATTGATCTTTCGTTGATCGTTGTTTACGAGTGGTAAAGGTTTCGCGAGCAAGAAAATTGGGGGGGAAAAGTTTAAGTTGCGTGGAAACAAGTGTTTTTGAGCTTCGTAGGAAACTTTAGACAAGTTTCGTTGCAAAAGGTTGGTTCGATTTATCTGTGTGAAACATTCGTTGGTTTTAGAAAACAGTTGGTTAGATTTCACGATTTAGATAGATGATAGTTGATATTTTTAGGAAATGTCATTGTTCTTAGGTAACGTAAATTAATTTGATATCACTGTTCTTGAGAAACATAAATCTCTGGCATTTCAAGATTTATCTAGATTCTTGAAGAATTTGATTTATTTTCCATATTTATGGAAATATATCTTTCTATTATTATTAAATTTTTCCCTTACTAACGATGTTGGTAAAATTATTGAGATCTCAGAATAGGAAAGATACTTAGAATATTGAAATTATTATTAAATGAGCCGTCAATTCCCACTTTTTGAATTTCTCTAACTTTTAACAATCTTTTTTTTTTTGTTTAAAATAAATTTATTCAATAATTAGGCTTAATATCACTAAATGATAAAAATAGTACATAATTAATAAATAATAAATAATTTATTTTGAGTGCCAATGGAATTATTTCAAGGATGTACGATTTTATGCATTTTGTATGTTGCCAAAGCTATTCCTATGCAATATTTGTTTGAGTTTAAATTTCAGAGGAAATTTTAAAAAGGAACGTGTACCATTAACTGTCAAAAATTAGTTCAGTGACGTATTAAATTAAAAAAAAAAAAAAAAAAACAAATCATCATACATATTTATAAAACACGAGGTATTAAAAGAAATGACATTATTCTTTTCAAATTTCTCAGTAATAACATAAACATATCTAATCAAGAACACATCGACATAGAAAATTAAAAACTCGAAGAATTGAATAATTGTTAAGTTTTTTAGCAAACAAACTTATCTAAAAAAAAAAAAAAAAAAAGATGTAGAAATTAATACAGTGCTTCTCTTTTTTAAAATTGATTAGAGAAATTGGTAAAACATTGAATTGACAAAGGAGTGACTCGAATGTTCAGAAGCTCGAAACGGACGAAGTACGAACCAACCTTCCCCTTGAAGAAAACATAAAAAGTTAACGCTTTTATCCCCTCTTTTTTCCCCCCGGCGTCCGCGATAATCAGAATTTCGCGTCACTGATCCGTGTCGTTTCTTTCGCCTTAGGTCCGACAGGAAGTCAAAGAACTGCGCGACCTTCTATTTCCGCCACTTGGACACTGATTCCGAGCAGAACGAGGACGGGGCGATCGCTATGGAGGATTCCTCGGATGAAGAGTGGACGTACACGTCGTCGCGGTTGAATATTACGAGCGAACAACAACGAAACACAAACGTGGTGGTGCGTCTGGACTTCCGCGAGGGGCAAAGTGAATCACGGGAGACTGCCGAGGGAGACGGGAAAACGAGCGAGAGGAAGCCCGTGAAGGAGAGCTCGTCCAGCATGGAGGTTGTCGACGAGAGTAACGAAACCGACGCGTCTTCTTGCAACAAGAAAGACAGCGATGACGAAACTAGCAACGACAAAACGAGCATTGAGAGGCTGATCAAGGGGGCGGAGAAGTTAGTCGGGGAGGAAAGGCGCAACGGTGCCTCCAAGACATTCCCTCAGTTCATATTCGACGATAAGAAGGGTTTAACGAACAATCATCGCGCCAAATACGCGAGGATCAAAGAGTGGTTGAAATTGAACTCCGCACGAAGCCACGATGGACATTCTACGTCACAGGTGGGTTGTAATATATATATATATATATATATATATATATATATTTTATATTTTACTATATATGAAATATACTATATAAAAAATATATATTTACTATACATTTACTATATATTTTATAAAATTACTAAATTTAATTACTTACTAATTTAATTACTTTATTTTATAAAATTACTAAATATATATTAAAATATATTTTACTATATATTTACTATATAAAAAAATATATATTTTACTATATATTTACTATATAAAAATATATATTTTACTATATATTATATTTACTATATAAAAATATAGATTTTACTATATATTACATTTACTATATAAAAATATATATTTTACTATATATTATATTTACTATATATACATATACATAATACATATATATGTACGTATGTATGTATGTGTAGAGAACGACCTGCTGCATTGATTGATGCAAAAGAAAAAAAAATTACATAATTATACTTCATAAGTAATAACTTTCATATCCCCTACATGCATCTACCTAGAGACAATATACTAAATATACCAAAATGCATTCGAGACATTTTTTAAATGACAAATAGAAGAGTCGAAGATAATTGTATTTATAAATTGAAATTGGGTAAAATCCTATATACATATATCAACGTTTTGGAGTGAATCGCACGAGTTTTGACTTTCACAGTACTCGCGTTGATCTTTCCTTTTGTTCAGTATTTAAATGGAAAGAAGATTGTTTCGTGTTAATCTGAAGGTCGTTCTCTTTTCAAATTGAAATTCAACGTAATTGGTAGTTGAAAACTGTCGATTCGCACAGGATGTCCAAACTTCCTCCGCTTTGTAAATAGAATATTTCGTAACAATATAAAAGAGGACTTGTGGGATGTTGCTCTTTTTTTTTTGTTTGCCGAGTTACTTAATCAACGTTGTAACAAGCTTGTTTGCTTTGCATCGTGTTGCATTGACAATTTCAGAGAAAATGTAGAAGCGTAGCATTCGCTTGTAAAATATCTTGTTGTTCGTTAATTCAATAAACATTGAAGACGCGACGATCACAGATCCATTGAATTAGTGCAATTTCCTATGTTTTACATGAATTTAATAAATTTAATAGATTTAATAAAATTGAAAAGTTTAGTTAATTTAAATTTAAATTAATTGATTTAAGTTTAGTTAATTTAAAGTTAATTTAATTCAAAAGTTTAGTAAATTCAATAAAATTGAAAAGTTTAGTTTACAAGTTTCATTAGTTTTATTAATAACTTATATATTAGATATTCTTCAAATATGTTTTATTATTTTTTATACGAGCAATAAATTTATTGTGTGCGATAAATTGTTAAACATCAAGTAAATGATTATGCTGAAGTATCAGTAGATTTTGGATCTTTCCGAAAATGTGTTACTGATTTTGTATTATGAAAAGGGAAGTTGAAAGGGAACAGCAGACTTTAATTGAAAATTAAAAATAATCCTAATTCAGTGGTCGGAGATTGTAAGTAAAAATGTAGAATAATATTTAAGCCTCATTTGTTCCTCATTTTTTTAGCACAATGGTAAAAAATTAATGTCTTCAATGAAGACATAAGTAAAAATTGAATTTTATTTGCAAATTCCTTTGTTGAGTAATTAAGTAGAGTAAAATTCATGTATAAATCAGACTTTAAGATATCTAAGTAATCTTATTCTCTATTGTTTTGTTTAATGATCATTTGTTTTGGATTTATATGACAGTCACATGTCAAAATTATAAATGTCTGTATGCACTTTCAAAAAATTCATAATTGTAGTATAATATAATAATAATAATTAAATGTATTACTTGTCAAAGGACGAAATATTATTTGAATATCATTTTTTTTTTTTTATCTAAAATATCGAAAATATATATTAGAAAATATAGAAAATATATATTATACTACGTATATGTTGGAAACAAGTATTACTTTAATAACGTGTTATCTCATTTGATTCGATATTATCTTGAAATAATCCTAGTTTATGTTCGAACAAACATTTCTCTCGAAATTATTTCATTGCTTGGCTATTGAATGATATAATATTTTATAAGATAAAGTTATTTTTCAAATAAAAGAAATTTTTATTTCCTTACCGTTGTGTTAAATAAAATTTGCTCAACCGATTAGAAGTACTCGCATAACGTGTCACTTTGTACAAAAAAAACAAATACGTTAAAGTGAAAAAAGTAGAACAAAAAAAAAAAAAAAAAAAAAAAAGGACCAAAAAGAAAAAAAAAAAAAAAAAAAATCGACGCGAACTTTTCGACTGCGTGACACACGCGTGCGTTGAGGTTCT